CTGGGAACCAGCTATATATGGATATACGACGCTCATGTTTTATGACTTGTGAAATGCGCATAGTACTGAACACAATACTCTACGTGTAGCGACTGCTCTCAACTAAATTTTACGCACTATGGAGGATTTTCGACTCTGGGGTGAAGCAATAGGCCATAGTGCTTGTATTTAAGTAAGCAATAGAGACGTGTAATATCTTGGAAAGAAATGGCTGATCCAATAGAGAACCAAAAAGAAGTCTGCAGGAAACGGCCGTATCATTCTGCATCCCAGCCAGTCATAGGACACACCATGACTGTCTTGGTTGATAACACGTACTAGCATAGAAGGGGGGCTAATTGCCTCGTCTATCGATGGGCATTCGTTGGGTAAGTGACGGCAGAGATTGTGTCACCCAGACAAAGTATCATCTATGACCTTGTCTGTATTGCAAGCATAGTTTGCGCTGGAGCCGGATGGTGTATGGGAAGTAGAAAATCAGGTTTTGACAGAATGCTTCTGATACATCAACTACTAACTAATACCTTCGTACTACAAGGGTTATTTTGGCCCCTACAGCTGAATCATTGTTCGTCCAACGCCTTCTGAACTATGTATCCATTAGTAACATCGAAAACATTGGTATGAATTAGCGAAGACCCAAGAGTTGCGAGGGAGAAGCACAGCATCATTGGCCTGGCCGAAATTTACTGTTGCCATTGCTTTAAGGCCCCCACCGTGGTCCGTATGGCTTGCTAGCAAAGATTAACTCACGTCTACTAACATTCCCAGTATGAATAAACCTACTGCAAGGCTGTTCATAAGATGGAAGGACTGAAAAGGGGAGAGAGCTTCTAAGGCCGCTAAGGCACTGAGCGAGGGAGTGCTGCGCAACTATACAAAGTGACATGTATGTCCCCCTAGCGACTTAACCTGCGATATTATGTGCTTGGATCTCCGATGATACCAGCTGAAGTACCCGTACGTTGACCCAGAGTCTTCAAGCCGTGACATTACTATCGTGTTTGAATATGTTATATCTCAATTAGACGATATCAGTAAACTGGAATTCAACTTAGATTGTGTGAAAGAAATCCTGCAGCCTCATGCGCATTGAACATTACCCTCTCAATTCATTAAATATACAATAAAGATATTTTCTCGACGGGCTCCGACAAGAGTTAGCCTAGATAAGGGATCTTACTAATCAAGAAGCGCAGACACAAGGATCTGCATTTCACTATTCCTTTTGGAATCAAGAAGACGAATCAAAACGAAAGCTTACTCGGAGACAGCCTCCCATACCGGTAGTATGTCTCCTAAAATTCGTGGAAGACTACACTCAGAAACGGCAGTCTCATTCTTTCTGCAGGCTCGCATAACTTTGATAATTAGAAGAACTATTTATATTCATTTGTAAGTATCACGGGGGCTAGGGGCCAGACGATACTTTAGGGAACCAGCAACCATTTAGACGAATTAAATCGTACGGTCACGTCGTATTATAGGACTTATGGAGATCGCTAAATTAAATGATATTAAAATAGACTAGCTTATGACGGATTTCGGATTAGTCGCTTTTTTTTCATAGGATGTGAAAACTGCGCCCCGGTTAATCCGGTGACATCGCTCTTTAACACAAACAAGACCACTCTACCCCAAGATATTTACACAACCTCTATACCTTCTCGTCGCGCGCGAACAAAAGCAAGACTCGATGATAGCTCTCACATTGAAATCGAGAAGTGCGAACGCACAACTCCTCATCTCACTATATCTCCTGCAATCAGGCAGAGGGACAAAAAGGAAAACTTGATCGGAGACAGCCCCCTATACCGGTAATAAGTCTCCCAAAATTCTGGAAGACTACACTCCGGAACATTGAAGAGTAAAAGTATGTTAGTCTCATTCCTTATGCAGGTTCGCCTAATTTTGGTAAGTGGAGAAATATGTATTTTCATTCTTGTTTATTTAGTCCGTTATTGTTACGGGGCAGAAGCCAGGGGACAAGGCGTTCAATTGGCACTCCGCAACCATTATTCTCCTCGGTTTCTATACGCTTATTCTAGTCCAAGAGGCCGACCCGGGTCATACCTGCACTAGTAAAACAAGTCAACGGGGTCATCTTCGTCATATATATGAATGCTTATCTGTACAATAGTATATTATATACTCTCTTAGACGTTCCCGCATCCATATCCTTTTCATGGTCGGGACTCTGGTAGATCATTGCAAATAAAGTAAGCGCTACATCCTCTAGACCCTGAAAAGTAATCTTAAAAAGATGAAATACTATTGCAGGCAAGAGGGCTTCTCTGTACCTCTCTGTCCATCAACTTTTCAAAGGGCCTAATGAAAGAGTTGAGAGGCAGCACACAGCCATCTAATCCAGAGTAGTACTCCTAGGCTAGATATAGATCAGGACAATAGGGGACAATAGGTAGATAGTGGTGGGCAGCGAGAGGAAGGAGAGCGTGAACCAAAGCGGACATACTCGATCATCGCCACATATACCTGATAGGGTGAAAACAAGCCCGTTTCTGAATATAGGCATAACTTTTGTTGATGGTGCGAGAGTGAAGTTTTCTTGTACGAGAGACAGATGCGCGACGGATGACTCATTAACACTGACCACTATCATAATGATTAACAACTTTCGATGGAAATTAAGTTCTTGACTCACGATCTTCTACATCAGTGAGCTATGGGCGTACGTCCAGCGGGTCCATTATAACTCGGTGCTCGGTAAGTTTAATTCCGATGCTCCTGAGGCAAACCAGACGAGCAGTGCTTTATGTATTTCATTCTCACACAAGACCAAATCTCGATCAGATCGGTATTGGGAATGGACGGGCGTCTATTTCGGAAGAGTGTAAGAGGTTCGATTTCTCTCCTCGATGGCTACAACTCAGCAGGAAGCAAAGTACTGTAATTACCAGGTCGGTCATAAGTCTGCGCGGTTTCGAGCCAGCAAACCTCGCTAGAGCTATGGTAAGCGTCGCCTATGCCTGGGGAAGTCCGGGCTATCTAGGCGACTTAGCATTCCAATCAAGCTGCACTTTCCGTTGTAGGAGAATCTCTTTGGCACCAAGGAAGTTGACGAAATTTGGCCTACTCTAGTAAACCATTGGTTGAGCACGTGAATCTAATAAGCTACTTTGCCCCCTCTTCCCGCTCGCTCGCCCACCCACAATTCGAGCCGTGAATGTCGCGCATATAGGGCATCGCAAGCTATTTAAGGGCGGTTCAGTTCTATCTCTAGATCCAACAGGCTGTCCAACAGGCTGAAGTCATCGAGAAACAGCAGGATGTGCTGGCAGAGATGGAAAACCCCTGCCAGATTTCGAGATTGCAAAGGAGAAAGCGAAGGGAATTAATTGTACTTATTTCCATCCCGACCACAACCATGTTCAATGGAGCAAGCCAGCCACGGAAAGGGGGATCATTTGCAGTTCTGTCACTTCAACATCACGACTAAGTTCCACCAAGAGCGGTTAAGACTGCCCAGCTTATCGAAATGACTGATACAAATCATGAACGGCGGGCTTCCGCATTGGAATAGGTTGAAGGAGGAGACGTTGAGAATTGTGAACCTAGCGGAAAACCATTAGTTAGACCAAGGTTGACTTATTATTTGCCTATTATTTGAAGCATGATAACACCCGGAAAGTTTCCAGTGGGTGTTTTGTCACGTGACTTAAGAGCGTTAAAAGGGATCAATTACGCCAGTCGATCTGCTCATAGTTAGTTAGCTTTTGTTGTGATTACAAGCCTCAATTTCTCTAGAGGACACAGAGCTGTCCGCAATGTACACGCACAAGGTGCTCTTAGATTATCTGTATCTCCTGCAACCTAGACAGAATCCCCCCTCATTAGGCAATCTCTGAATCATCCCTCTCTCACATCGCGCGGCTACCCCTACTACTGTAGTCGCATCTCATGCCGTATGTCATCAGGTGGGAAATTGGCTATCATGATGTCGGCACGGATAAACAATCCCCGGTCATTCCCTCTCGATCTGGCCCCATGGTTCCAGCTTTAAATGCATATCGTTTCTGACGGACAGTTCTGCGAAACACCATTACAACCTAGCCTATCCACACCTACTCTCTTTTACCTGTAGTTACTTGTCTTGTCTCCAATCTCAAACATGAATGAAGAGAGACACATGTAACAGATTCTAGCGTTGAGTGAGTAGGCGGGAGCTTCGAGGTATCCCGGGCTCCAGAGATATTACTTTCTACAGTGCACGTCAAACCAGGCATCAGTATTACGTATCTCAGCAGAACAATATACCTTGGACCTGTATCTGTCTCTGGCGGGCTCCAGCTGCACGGGCGAGGAACTTTTGATGGGGCCTCTAGTAACATCAAAATCCCAGTCATGTTTATTTAAGATGCGATATACCCTTATACTAGGCCTACTATTGAACCGTGATTCTGTATTCGGGGGTCGAAATACGTCTGATTCGCTTTCCAGGGAGCGGAATCATATGAAATTGAATAGCACGGCATGTGATATGGACAAAAGTATGTATTAAACTGCATGCTGATTGTAGCACGCAGGTGATCTTTTCATTTGGTAGCCGTGGCTAGAAGAATGGAAAATAGGAGCTGTTTGCAAAGGGAAGTAGCCTCCAATCGTCCGGGGGCTTGATGCTGCGATACCGTCGAACGGCGGATTCACCGGGAGCTCCAGATATCACTTAAAGCTTATCCAACGTTTGTCTCAGCAAGTCCTAGGACTTCTGAGGAAGCTATTTAGGGCGCTGACTTGGAGACGAATTATGTGCAGTCCCGAGGTCCTCCGCAGACCGGTTGCCCGCCAGATCGTCTGTGAGTACGAGCGAGTCAGACTAGCTGGAGAAAGGAGTCGAATGACCCAGTCCATGTCTACTAAAGGTAAGCATGGCACCAAGCGCGACCCGTGAACGACTAGTGGTTGCGGCAAGGTATTTCGTGTCGGAGCGCGGGGCAGTCCGATTAGTACGGAGAAACTTGCAAGTATAGCATAGTCCGACGCTAGCTAGAGAGGTCAGGTTCATGATCAAAGATCCTGGTAAAAACCTCGATCAACATTCGAGCATTAGCACGTATAGTGGGTGACGCGATTTGACTTCGGCGTAAGAATTTGATGGTACGTATAAGGAGACGCTCGAGCGTGTCGCGGTCTACGAGATCGGAAAGGCCGGCGAGGTTGGCGTTATACGTCGCGGAGAGAACGAGCATGTTGCCGCATTGTCTTGCACATCATACCCGTCAGCATTTTGGATTCATAGTACTCATCTCACATGGAGGACGCAAACATGCGGAAGAAAACCATTATAAGGAACAGCTTACGTTTGAGCTATACCAAAGTAATTCGTCAAGATTAGCCTGTCCTCGACACCGTCAAATGCAGTTGAGCTATGGATAGCCGATTGAATGCAAGCCCTGCATGCTAGTAGTGTCGTCGAAAATACTTCGGTCGATTCAACGACAGCCGTGGGATTTGACTGTACGAGCACTTGGGCGCCATCTTGTCCATGATTTAGGGTGCTGTAGAGCGACGGGCGATGAATCATATACCGGGCGTCGTAGTATTCAGCGCGCATACGAGCGGCATTGATTTCGGCGGCAGGTGGATCGTTATCCTTCCAGTTCACCATGTTCGGAAGATTTTCTCGCCAGAGTTCAAGGTTCGCACTGAGAGCTTCTAGTGTCTCAGACCACAGTCGTCCGAACTGCCCCTTCTTCTTTGCACGGTAAAGGTCGAATTGAACATGATTAAGAATCTTGCGGAGGTGGATCCGAGCCGAATGGATGATCAGCATACGAGCAGCTGGCGCTGTCAAGTCGTTGGAGAAGTCAATCGTAAAACGACCCCTAGGTAGATGAATCTCACCTTCGGTCAGACGGGTATTGCTTGCCGGAAGGTTAAGTGCTACGAGGAGATCGCTCTCTAGCTGCACACATGTCCAGTAGGCAAAGTTGAAGAGATCCTGGGTAGGGCTCTCCGACACTGTCCCCGGGAAGCGCTTCTTTTGTCTGATTAAAGCTTGACAGATTTGCACAGCTTGGCAGACCCAGCCATGACTCTGAAGGGGATGGACCAACTGGTCGGCATATAGAGCTGCAAGCAGCCTGGCCTGGAGATGTGGGAGTCCGATGCCTCCTTGCATCAAACCCAGAATCATTGCGGCATAACCGTACAGAGCCAATCCGGGTATCCCCTCATGATTCTTCACGAGGACGTAGTCGCCTTTCATTGTAGAGATTGTATGTTTGGAGAAATTCTGTCTCTGCTCCTGAGCGGTGGAACCTGAATTGGAGATGTATAGAGCACTGGTCACCGAGTATGCATCATCCCTGGGCGGTATGGGCGGACAAGGATATTTCAATGCAAGCTGAGCCGCGATCGGTTGGTGGCGGTAGTCAAGAGTCTGTTCATCCATCATTGACCCCAGTAGCAGGGCTTTTTGCTCGCAGAAAGCACCAATGGCAAAGACCAGCAGAGTTATAGCATTATCAATGTTTTCTTCCACTACTTTTGGCTGCGCGGATGCCGAACACATTTGAGGCCCTTTTAAGTCCTCGTATGACCGTCTCCGCTTCTTACCACGACGTAGAGAATTGGTATTGAACGATAGCGGGAAATCTCGTGCGCAATAACAACGAATAAATTCATTTACCTTCATCGTCAGGTCATTTTGGCACAAGAAAGGATGCAACTTGTGCATGCTTTCAAGATAGCTTTGAAAATACCGGCGGGCCGTCCTCGCGTCGAGCCCTAGAGACCCAGTCCGATCAATTTCCGCAGGAGTGTCTGCAGGCGAAGCGGGGACCACAACTTTGAAGGCGCTATCGGACGTTGAGAGCCCTGTGCTATGTCCACTGTCTTTCGTCGGTCGGAGTGACGTAGGCAATACCGTGTCGTCTGCTATGTATGAGCTCTCTCTCCGACCGTGTATACTGATCAGATCCCGTTGTTCCTCCAACTGGAGCACGTAGTCTTCGGCATAAGCTGTCTCTAGCAGGCGCTTGATGGCCGGCCATTTTAAAAGGGTGGTCTGCTCCACCGGATCAACTGGCTCTCCCTTGTTGTCGTTGCGAGCCACACCCGTCATCTCTTTTAGCGGGTTGATGACTCGAAGTATATTGCTTTCCTTTAAAAGCTTAGTCAGAGTGGCCTCTTGTGATTGCCAACCTTCAATCAGCGTCTTAACAGCCCCATCTATCTTCATTTCGAGCGCCGAAATGCGATCCATCGCAAGTTGTGTTGGTTTTACTTGTCTGCGCATCGCGAATTAGAATTAAGGAGATCTGTTGAGGAGTCGGCGAGAGGTGATGACGACCATCTGCGGACCACGATACGTACGTGTGTGGAGAATGTTCCCTGTACTCGCAAACTAACTTGTTTTCCTCGCAGTGACCACAAACTGGTCGATATTCGTCACATTTTGTTTTTCGCGATCGACACTGATTACAGGCCTGTCCAGAACCCAACCAGTCAGAAAGAATCTACCGAATGTTTTTCTCAGCGCGTAAGTTGGCGAACCTGTTGCGCGCGAGCTACCTTGTGCCTGATGGCACCTGAGGTTGGATTGGAGAAAAGTCCAGCATCATACGGATTCAGATTTTCCGTAGATACAGGTTGGCGGTCACACACGGGCCACGACGACGGCGGTGTAGGCAAGTAGTTCGAATTTGGACAAATCTTCGGAAGCCCTCGATTCGAGTGAGCACCGACCTCACCAGTATGACAAGGAAGAGGAGTCTGGCTGTTCGAGGAGAATTGGAGTGGCAAAAGGCGAGGGTGGTTGTGGTCTGCGGATGTATATGACAGGCGTGTGCGGGCCCATCCGGGCGTGGCGGGTAGCATCTCTTTGTATTGATAATTCAACAGGATGAGACACGGAAGGTGAGACGTGATAAAGTTATGAATTGAAGGTGGAAAAAACCCAAGCTTTTATTAGAGGTCTACGGAGCCTACTTGTGGCTGGGGTGGGTGGCGGTTGCCAATCCTATAGCCTGGCTGCCTGGATAGATTAGCTCCAAATACCAGTCAAACAGTTCTGCCACCGGTATATGCACGACGGACTATAGTAGAGTACGCCGGATCGAAATCAAGATTCTGCCGATATTTCATTCCTTGAATATCAAATCATCTCTAGTACTTATGTTATGGGAATACCCAGGTCTATTAACCAAACAAGCCAAAAGACGAATATACCAGAACGCATGTTCTGTCATGCCCGGGAACGGTGTAAGTATCGCACCGTTGCGGCTGCGGCTGGCTACGGCTTCGCACAGCCACCACGCCCGCAATTCGCCGTATACTTCAATTATTCTATTGTGAAGAATCAATCCCTCTGTGAGTGGCGGTTTTACCTGTAGAAAAACCGGTACAAAATATTGTGTGTGAACTTGAAGGGAACTTTTCCGTCTTATAGGCTAGTCATTTCGCAAATAAGCCCATCTAAACGTCCTTGTTCTGCGAGTTGGACGTGCTTCGCCCTTGTCCGCTTCAACCTGTGTGATATCCTCTTGCAGGGTGCATAAGACTGCAAATTTTTAAGGACCATCACTTCCTTGAAGAACGCGCCATATGAGTTGAGTCATGATAAATTAACAAATTGATAGTCAAGAACTCCTTGGAAATCAAGTACAGTAGTTTTCGGAATCAGTTATACATCCGCGCTCTTGCGACTTCATTCTTGGGAAATATATCCGAAAAACGCTAATCTTCTTTAGCTTACCGCTCTATAAGTTTGGCAAAACACTGGTAGTAATGGCCATACGCGGCAGATGAGTCATTGAAGCAATACCGTAAGGTTCCATGCACCATGTGTCCCGTTGAGCCGTGAATTACGTTAGTTACTGGGGAGCAAACTATACTGCCAGATTCGAAATCAGATTCCCCCGCGGCCACTCAGAAACTAATTCCCCAACCCTATCCTAAAACAATCTAGTCTATATTCAGGTTATCTGCAGATCGCGGCTTGTTCACAAACTGGTGACGCGGGCTACGCCCGCTGTGGCCCTGAAACGAAACAGACCGAAAAATTGATCAAGATGATAAGTGATAATTTGGAGGCGGAACTTCTTGGTTTTGGATGTACGCTACGGCAGCGCCCCATCCCAAAAAGCACAGCTACGCGTTGTGGTGGGTGGGCCGCGAGCGGTAAGCCACGAGAAATGGGGACCAGATACCCCCTGATAAAAGTCCCACCCCTGCCGCGGTCGGTACGGTGGAGGCAATATTAGGTTGAAGGACCTTTTATGAATAGCCCAGTAGCGCAGGGAGTTTAGTTATCTGGCTATCTAATTCGAGCTGTTGAAAGCTAGGCAGATATGTGTGATAGTAGGATGTGGTAGTATAGAGTACTGGTAATAAGGCCTGGAACGACTTAAAGTTAAGCCAAGTTCCAAGGTCGGGCTAAACCAACGACGCTCTACGTAGATCTGCATATGATCTCCGGTTCTAGACTAGGGAAACCCTATTTTCCCATGTTTTACCCTTAACGTTACTTAACGTAATTCCCGCCCGAGTGAAACACCCGCCCGAGTGAAACAGCTACACCCATTAGAAAAATTCAAAATCGATTATCTCAACCAACACCTATCAAATCAGCTAAATATAGTGGTTTTTACATGTATTAATCCTGTGCCCAGTCTCCCTACACCCACTACACCTAGGCGGAGCCCTAGTACGTGGTAGATCTGCCTGACTAGGCAATTCGCCTGTCTTATGCGACACCACCGGGCTATCTTCAACTGGCTGGTCTAGCTGCTAGGCTAGCTAGAGGCCCTCTTCGACGCTTAAACCCTCCTTATAGGGTATCTTCCTATTCGACCGATTACGCTTCTCGATGATCTTTTTATTCGCTATACGCAAATTCGTATTATCCTGCGCTAGTAATGTAGCGTTGTGAAGCGATAGTGTAGTGTCCTTAATAATCTAATCAAGTATACTTTTGATTAGGCTAGGAGTGCTATTTAACCGACGGCGTAGTAGATCCTTAAGCATCGAAGCTTGCTTGTGTAGCTGAACGACGGTTCTAGGTATTCTTGGCGTGAACTAGCTAGATCTGCTACTTAGCCGGCTGCTTGGTGGTGTAGGCGTTCGTAAGGAGATATTTAGCTTTGAAAGCACTCTTTCTGCATCGACTGGTACTAGGCTACTAGGTACAAAGCTATTCTGAATAATAGCTGGCTTTTGGAAGGCCTCTAGTCGCGCGTGTTAGTAGTTCTCTAAGAAATCGTACTTATCGATATGATTATATTTCCTACGAGTAAGATCGCTAACGAAACGGCTATACGCCCTCTTGATTACTGTAAAGTAGCTAACATCTAGTAGTCATAGTAGATACGACAAATACGAAGGTATACAAAGAGGTATAATATCGTTTTCTGCGCAGATTCGGTCGAATTAGGGCGTAAGGTGGCTACTATAGCCGTTAAGAATTAGTAGGCGAAACCTGTAAGAACAATTCCTAAAGGGGAATAGTCCGAGAGGGGGACTGGGTCGTATACGAGTCATGAGAAGAGACGGTAGGGATTAGGAAGTGATACGTGGGGGAAAGGATATCTTATGAGCTACAGAGTGCGTCAACGTATGTGTCGGCAGAAGACAACTCTGACTCTTGATTCCCTCTAAACTATCCTCCTCGGATTATTTATCTTGGGGGAATCTGCGAGTCCTTCGAAGTCATGACGTTCTTGACTTACGGCAGGCTAGAGCCCACGTGACCCATCCTGGGTGTCCTCACGTTCAGTTTGCCAAGTCCCCGACCGAGCGTACCCGAGCTCCCAGCACTTAATAAAACTGCACTGATTTCTCTTCTTACAAAACCGGCCGCGTATACGCGAATTCGTTGATAGGATAAAAAGCTTTCGTAGCTAACGTAGGCTAATTGTATCGGTAGTCTAGCCGTTATCAGAGACCTCGAATCGCTAGTTATATAGTAGGTTTTTAAACTAATCCGCCTTAGCTATTTTGCCCTTAAAGATTATATATAGTAGTAGCGAATAGCTATCTACGCAAATTACTTCGATAGTAGTAACCTATTCGCGGTTTCCTAGCTATAGAAGACGTCTCCGACTGTAGTATTCCGCTCGTTTTACTACCTTCTGCGACGATATAAGGCCTATTATAAAGCCTATCTTATCAAAGTTATAGATATCCTCCGCTTGTATCCCGTTCTTATTAATAACACTTTATATAGTCGTAAACTAGGCTCGGAGGGCTTTTGGGTCTTCGTTTAATACGCGTTGGTAGTCGTATTATACCGAGTAGCGTGTACGAAGCTTATCGCGACGTTAAACAAATTTTGATGGCTAATTCTTGCTAACAGTAGGCGGAGGTTAGCTACCGCGCGTAGCTAGTAGGATATTAGCTATCTCTCCTATAGTAGCCGGCCTAGGCGCTGCTCTACGCGTGTCTATAGAGAGAATCTATTTAGTAAGCGAATCCTCTTCTAATTGGGTTAATTTATAACCGTTTGGGCGTGTAACGACGCGTGAGGGAAGGCTATTCGCCCGTGGGGACAAGGTAATATGAGATACACCAAATTGCTTCGCAGCTGCGCGAATTGATTTGAATTGACCCTTTTGAACAGCTTGTAGGGCTAATAGAACCCTGCCCTCTTGCTCGGTCGCTTTTTGCCAGGATTCAGTGCGTTTTGGTGGCATAGTAGATGGTTGAAGTAGGTAAGTAGGTGAGAATACGCGATTTCTGGTGCGGTGTTTCACTCGGGCGGGAATTTCGTTATAGGATTCTCCGCAAACGGCTAACATGGTCAATACGTGTTCAGCAAATACCATGTGTATGTGTCTCATCCACTCACTAAGCTTATCTATTCTCTGTGAGAACGTAACTTGAGTTAAAAAGAATGCTCTGCCACAAAAGTAGATAGACTATCGGATAACTCGTGATAATGTACTTCTCTGCGTGTTCCTAGGACCGAGATTTGGAAGTGGTATGTTACTACACTAGGCGGTCTAGGAGTGGTTCCGAGGGGATGTTCAAACTTTTGTCGTCACTGCAACTTCGACGTCAGTACAATTTCGCTGTTGTACAGTAAAGCAGCTACCAAAACCCAATTTATGAGACCCACCGCCCCAGGGGTATCGTGTGTATGGCAGTTTCGTGTAAAATACATCACTCCCAGGTCCCATCGTACAGTAATGTAAAGTACACTGACTTTTTATAGAAAGCGGTCTGAAATAGGGCCCAAAGGCCTTTATCCAATCAGTGCTTGCCGGCATCGAAAATAGTTTTCCGGCAATGAAGTTGCAA